TGTCGAGTTTCATTTTCCCAGCAGATTCACCCCCCCTACTTCCTACAGATTTTTTTTTTCTGTCTCTTCCACTTGTGAAAAACCTTCTCAGCCTCTTCGTATTTGCCAGTAGAAACCATCTGTCTGCTTATTTTCTTTGTTATTCGATTTGTATTCATTTTAACCTCTTCAGTTTCCTCGACAGGAACAAAACTTCTATTTCCATGAATAAAGTGTATTTGGTGCTCTTCTGTGCATCATGCAACATTTCTCCCATTTTCTTTGTTTTTTTTTATTCTGCTCATGCAGATTCTGAGTTTTTGAAAAAATTACATTAATTTCCTCTTATTCCTTTCTCAATTCTAAAAACCTTTCTCTACGAAAATGTCTGCAGATTCACAGGCCACCATTTTCACTATTTCTTGTTCCTTTTTTCACTTCCTTAACTTGTACAGGCACCTCATTTTCAGCATTTTTTGTTATTTCTTAAAGATTTTAAACTTGAACCTCACCCCCTATGACTATTTGCTTTTAAACCCTTATCAAAACAAACTCTCTGGTCTTCTCACCAGTTTCCAAGGTAATACAATGACCTGCATTCTTTCTCCTTTCAACTAATGTGTTTTATTTCTTTCCTCTACATATCTTTGTCATGTTCCTATCTTCTGGCTTGATTTAGGAATGTTCAAAGTTTTTACCACGAGCCTTACTCTTTTTCAACATTTTAATCCAAGGGAATGGAGATTTACACCTGATTCTATTTTATCTACATATTCTTATTTTTGTCCATCCAATATACAAAATTTTTATTTTTTTCATTTGGTAAAACTAGCCAAATTAATATTTATTCACTCTTGCTTTCTTTTTTTCAATGCTATTAAAATATCCCCACCCCTGCTTTAAAAGGTTTGGTTAACAATTTCTATCTCCAATATAGTGAGTCCTTCACTGGGATTGAATATTTGAATAACAAGGAAGTTTTAGGAAAATGAATGTTAAAAGGATGCTTATACTTAGAATCAGAAAGAGATAGTTGAAATTTCTAGGACACATAATGAGGAGAGAGGGCTTGGAGAATTTGCCACTCATAGGGTATACTGAAAACAAGAGAGACAGGGAAACTGTGAGTAATCTACTTGTAATCTAGCTTGTATAAATGGATCACAGAACAGAGACTGAACGGTGAAAAAGACAAAACTTATTAAGAGCCACAAAAGTTAGGAAATAGTGAAGAGCTATGATCTTCCATGTTCGGAAGGACATGGCCAATAGAAGATGAAATGGGTTCCTTCTTCAGATTACCCTGGTATGACATTTGTGAATCATATAACCAAAAATAAGGCAGTTGACAAGAGAAAAAGTGAGGTGTGTCTGAGGATGGGCAATAGATACTGACGTTCATCATCTGAATATTTTTATATTTCTGAGATGAGGTATTTTAACTATTTCCACTATCTAAATTGTTCAAACATCTTTATTGCCATATTCCTGATGTTTCAGTCATTGTATCCTTCAGCCTTCTTCAGGATCTGTATATGTTTCTGAGATGAATTACCCTAATTACACTATTTTCATTGTTCATAGTGTTGTCCTCATCTTTATTGCCATATTCACAAAGTTTCAGGCGATGTGTTCCAGCTTTCTTGGAATTTTGAACAACATTAGTTAAATATCAATCTGTCTCAAACTGTCAAACCTGTAAACACTTTAAATAAATAGTTACTGTTTGGTTCAAAATGCATTTTTTTGATATTTTAAAGTAAAGAATATTTATTTTAAATAAGATTAATTATACTTTAAATTAGCTAATATTCCATAAATAAAGTTTCAGAAAAGTATAATTTATTTTAGGAAGATTTTTTTAATATAGAGAATTACATTGCAATAAAAGACAGCAACATGTCCAGTGTAAATTTACACTTATAAATTTTTTAATTCTGTACTCTGTACTTTTTGACCAATGTCAATTCCCAGGTATGAAAAGTGACATAGTCTTTCTTAAAAATACTGAAATGTTGTACAATGCACAACTTCGTTGATAATCTGAAATCATTTTCCTCATTGTATGCACAATGTGAAAAGATAGATTACATGTTCAGACTATGTTTATATGATTTAAAGGTAATGTTGTGTTTGCAATAGAAATTCATTGTAAACTGATCCCCCGAGGTGGTGTTTAAAGAGTTACTTCTTCTGATGGTCTGTAACAAATTCACGTAGATTTAAAAAGAAACAGATTTTAATTTCAAAAGGTCACTTGAAGTTCAGGGGTGAATTTGTCCTCAACTGACTATTAAGTCACAAAACATGTTTTACTCCCTCACTACAAACAACTGTCTTTATCTACATTGATTCCAGCTCCAATCCCTCTCTGTGTCACACACTCTTTTTTGTCTCTCTACATACTTCACTCTTTCTGTTTTACTCTGTATATCCCACCATCTTTCTATCTCCCTCTCAACTGTGATATCAAGCATAATACACACACACATATAAGTACAAGCTTATTAATATATGGATATCTCTAAGGATTAGCTGAAAAGCTTTCTCCTTTTCTGACCAAGAAGAGATTTTAAAACAAATTCCAATGTTTAGTAATTTACTTAGATTTATGGAAATGGTTCAAAATCCAAGAACTTCTTAGCTCCTTCTCAGGTGTATATAAATCTGGGTAACCTCCAGGGAATTCTGAACTGAACCCTTTATTTAATCAATGGGAATAGAATGTTCTCGTTCCACTGCCTATGTCTAAGGATATCACATTATTTTTAGTAGTTCTCAATTATTGCTTATCCTGTTTCCACTGAGTCCAAGTACACACTGCCTTACACACAATCATCATGTCACCAATTTCACAAACCAATGCTTTAATCCACTAGGCCATTGTCCTGTAGGACAATTTGCTGTACTGAACTAGGAGCCTTAAACCTAACCTACCTGATGATTAATGCTGCAACTGCTGCCTATCATACTTTATTTGCATCTGCTGAAGACTTACTGTCATCTGTCTTTTGTTCTTTATTAGTGGCTACCATATTGTATTTAATTCTATGCTAGGCCTACTAATGGGATCCTCATAGCCGAGCATATGTGCTCATTCTTTCAGATGTCTAACATTTCAGTGTCCAGTATTGTCTGTAGATAAAATAAAGGGTTCAGTTCAGAATTCCCTGTAGGTTACTCTGATCAATATACACCTGAGGGAGGCCAGATGGCACAACAGCAAAGATGAGGAAAATAGTCCAAATATAAATAGTGTAGATAAGGATAACTCCTTATCCCAGAAAGTAAGTGATTTAGATTAAAATTTAAGCATGATACGAAGAGTTAGCAGCAACTCCTACTTTCAGACATAAAGAAAATACAAAATTATAATATTACAAAAAAAAAAAAAAAAAAATTCTATCTGAAATTATCTTTATATACTTGAATGTAAAATATAGATTTTTTTGGGGGGGGAATTTCTCAGGTGAAGCTTTTTGTTAAGAGAAATGGTAAATACATTACTGTTGGCACTCACTGATTCTGATTCACAATAAGACAGAAATTCTTTGGTAAGATTTTTCTAAAAGCTATTTTCTATACAATAAAATATAGACTGCTGTTACCTTATTTCATTATTTAAGTACCTTCAAAATCTGAATATGTTAGAAATTAACAATTTATTACTTAAAAATCAACAGCTTGACATATGAATTTATAAGGTTTGTGTGTATAAAAACATTTTTTTTTACAAAAAGGTCACATAGATGTGCCATTAATATCTAGCATATAATGAATAAAGAAAAAGCTACAATTTAGAAGTAATACTTAGTAGAAAGCTTTCTCAAGGGCACCAAAGATATAAATGCAGTTTCATGCCTTTTTTGAAGAGAGAACATTTAAAGCTTTAAATAATAAGCAAATGAGAACATGTATAATAAATGCAAACCGATTCTCACAAAAGCAAGCAATAAGGCTCTGAACATGCATTAGTTATGGGATTGATATGGACTAAAATCTATAATCAATATTATATACATATCAATAAGAAGTTTTCAGCTTTGACTGCATGCTTTGAATTTTCTGAGAAAAAAAATAAGTCCATGACATATATCTGACATTCCATTTTAAAAACATTCCAACATCTTTGCAATGTAGAAAATGTATTTAAATATTTATAGATGTTAATTTCAAATGTTAAGTTTAGTTAACCAGGAATTTTTACAATAAGCTTTTTTGAATGTCAAAATCATTTTATCTATGTTATATAAAGAAAATAAAAAGTGAGAGGAGTCAAATTTTTACTGATATCTGATTTTTAATCCTTTATCTGTCTCTAACGAACTTTATTAAGAGCAAGAAATAACCTTTAACTTCCAAGAAGGGACTATCTTAATGGTGCTGTGTTGAAAAGAAAAGGATGTGTCCTGATAAATGATTTCTGTTAATGTCATATGTGATTCATGCCAAGGAAATACCAGTGATCTGAATCAAAATTAATGTCCATCAGGAAGCTTTATCTAAGAGTTGATCTGTGGTGACACCAATTTATACTGGCCTCACTCTAAGAGATACCAAAAGTGAGCTTTATTCTTAGCGCCACATCAGAACATCAGAAGTGTTCAGTGCATCAGCAGGTTGACCTAAATGGTGACCTCACAGCCACCAAGTGCAGAATCAGGCCTCAAAGATGCCGGTACAGTGGCTGCATTTACATAAAACAAGGAATCAACCCAGATGAACTTGGAATATACACATACAAGACAACTACTTGATAGGAAGTGCTATATAAAAGCCTGGCCCACAAGAGGGAAGATATAGTCTTTTGCATACTTGTGAGAAAAATATTCAAACATCCATTCAAAGTCACTGAAAAACTACACACCCTAATAGCCGACATTAATTTAGTGACTCCAGAAGTCAATAAACAATTTTATATATGAAAGATTTAATCTTGTATTCTTATAAAATATTACAGGAATTGGTTTCCATACATAAATAGATAATCAGGTTTTATTAACTGTAAAATGAAATCTTACCTTGGTGGATCAGTATCAAAAAACAAAACATCTGAAAGAAAGAAAACAAAACAAAATTGAAAAAACAAATTGGTTTCATGCATATAATAACATCTTTGAACAATTAAAACCATAAAAAATATACAATATGCTTCAAAAATTCTCAGCCAAACCAAGAAGCAATTAGGGCCAAATTAATATTTATTCACTCTTATTTTCTTTTTTTTCAATGCTATTAAAATATCCCCACCCCTGCTTTAAAAGGTTTGGTTAACAATTTCTATCTCCAATATAGTGAGTCCTTCACTGGGATTGAATATTTGAATAACAAGGAAGTTTTAGGAAAATGAATGTTAAAAGGATGCTTATACTTAGAATCAGAAAGAGATAGTTGAAATTTCTAGGACACATAATGAGGAGAGAGGGCTTGGAGAATTTGCCACTCATAGGGTATACTGAAAACAAGAGAGACAGGGAAACTGTGAGTAATCTACTTGTAATCTAGCTTGTATAAATGGATCACAGAACAGAGACTGAACGGTGAAAAGACAAAACTTATTAAGAGCCACAAAAGTTAGGAAATAGTGAAGAGCTATGATCTTCCATGTTCGGAAGGGACATGGCCAATAGAAGATGAAATGGGTTCCTTCTTCAGATTACTCTGGTATGACATTTGTGAATCATATAACCAAAATAAGGCAGTTGACAAGAGAAAAGTGAGGTGTGTCTGAGGATGGGCAATAGATACTGACGTTCATCATCTGAATATTTTTATATTTCTGAGATGAGGTATTTTAACTATTTCCACGATCTAAATTGTTCAAACATCTTTATTGCCATATTCATGATGTTTCAGTCATTGTATCCTTCAGCCTTCTTCAGGATCTGTATATGTTTCTGAGATGAATTACCCTAATTACACTATTTTCATTGTTCATAGTGTTGTCCTCATTTTTATTGCCATATTCACAAAGTTTCAGGCAATGTATGTTCCAGCTTTCTTGGAATTTTGAACAACATTAGTTAAATATCAATCTGTCTCAAACTGTCAAACCTGTAAATGCTTTAAATAAACAGTTACTGTCTAGTTAGAAATGCATTTTTTTGATATCTTGAAGTAAATATTTGTTTTAAATAAGATTAGTTATATTTTAAATTAGCTAATATTCCACAAATAAAGTTTCAGAAAAGTATAATTTATTTTAGGAAGATTTTTTTTTTAATATAGAGAATTACATTGCAATAAAAGACAGCATTAATCAGTTATTTCTTTCCAATCAATTTAAATTAGTTTTTGAAATACAGCAAAGTATTTTACATGTTGTAAATATTAAATTTAATCGACTAACTTAAAATTTAAACTAAAATGAAAGCTTCAAGAAAGATTTTTCATTTGTAAAAATTAATTTTAAATTTTAAGGTATCATTTGTTTTGTTTTTCTTGGGGTCGGTGGGGAGGTACCTACTGTTAAGCATGTCCGTCTACATTGGAAAGGAACTCAATAAGCAAATTTGGTGGCCAAGAGAATATATAGTTAACAAGGACATTCATGGAAAACTAAACATTGAAGGCTCCATAGCTGTCCACTTCAAGCCTCAGCATATCACAAAACCCATTTTAATACCAGGGCAATGGATGAAATGAAATATTTGTATATTTCATTTCAATCTGTCTTTTATATACAGGAAAATATGATCAATTAAAAATAATCAAAAATACAAATTTAATATACATATTTATTAGCCTTCATTTTACAAAGAATTTTTTGGGAAAATCTTATAAAATTGTTTTAGATTTAAAACTGAAATGTATATAAAAATAAAAAATACCCAAGGTAAGTCAGCAATTTACACATCCACCCCCACCCACTATTCAGTACATAAATTATTTTAAAAAGTTAATAAGCTCACTTTGAGTCAATATTGGCAAGCAAGTGCTGTTAGCTAATCTGGTTTAAATATATTACTATTCTGATGACTTTTAATGAACAGCAGAATCTACTTTTTAAAATTAACATATTTAATATATGTGGTTATATGTGATCAAAAATCAATAAGTAAACTGAAAACATAAAATATTAAAGCAATCAAAAGGTTAACAAGCATCTTGCCTGTGATGCCAATAAGTCATTTATTTCTTTTGACATTACAATGGTATTTACTTCTTCATAATTCACTGATTTAAAAAAAAAAAATCAATAATTACTTTGTGGAGTGAAGACAGAAATAAACACAAAGATGGTCAATCATCAAATGATAAACAAATAGTTTCTGAGTTGGCGGATTCATGTATCCTTCCGGGTGATAAATTAATCCTTTGAAAATAAATATCTAACATTTTTCAACCAATGCTCTGTGTCACCGTCGACGCTAAAAAACATGCTTTGAACCCCTTTCAAAAGTATTTAAGTAAAGTCTCTAGAAGGATAAAATCAGTAAGGAGATAGACATGGACACATGCAACAACAGTTCACAGCACAGCTTCAAAAAGATTCCCTTAATCCTTTACCGGTCTTCATCACCAAGCTACATAACACTTACACGCTTCCTCATCAAGCTACATAATGCTTACACTTTCCTCTTCACTTTTTTCCTTGCCTCTATTTTCTCACACATACACATGAAGAAATCACATTTTGTTTAAGTCTGGATTTTGTTCTTTGTTACTTTCTTTCAATTGCTTTATTCCAGCATATGTGACAGAAACTTCATCCTCTTTTTTTTTTTTTTTTTTTTTTAGATTCATGCACCTCCAAGTACACTAAACTGAGAGTTCTTGTCACTAAAGATTTTTGTCAGAATGTGTACCGAGTCTTCCAACCTGATTTCACTTGTTTTTTCAGTTATATGTAGTTGCAGTATTTTTCATACTCTATCAGAGCTATTTTCTTCAACAACAATCTTGTTTTTCTCTCATCTTCCTAGCTGCTGCATTCCTGACTGAATATTTGTTCATATCCATAAAAAAAATGCAGAGAAAGTAAGTCCCTCATCAGGATTGTATAAAAATTCTGATATGGTGTTTTGCACAGTGTCTGCCGTAAGAGACATTGAAGAATTTTTTGTTTCCTTCAGAATTATATCCAACAACTCCTGTTACAGTTTTGGTAGTTCTAGCAACTGTTGATTTTGTTCTTTTAATGTTTCTGTTGTTGAATTTCAACTATTGAAGCCAAAATTTGCTCAATAGTTGTAAGAATGTATTTTTTCCTACACTCAACAGAAAACTTTTTTTTTTCTTTTACACAAGAAAAAAAATCTTTTTTAAAAAACATGGTCAAAATTCTTATCGTCTCCTGAGGCAACAAGTATATTATTTTTTCCGTACCTGTTCACACAGTATGACTTTCCAAAATCCTTGTAAGTCAAGTTACAACTCATATGAGTTCTTGAATCCTCATTCCTGTTATGGTTGGTTGGTTGTTTTGTTTTATGGCATATCAAAACCTCAGTGGGTCATTTAATGGCAACAAAATTTTGAAATAGATTCATAGCGATAGTTTGGTAAAAAAAGGTGTGTATGTAAACATAAATATTTGAACCATTTTTCAATTACTCATATTTTTGAGTACAATCCAACATCTTTTGGGAAATTTATAATCTTGGATGGTTTTATTTTCATAAAAAGTTTTTTTTAAATTACTCACTTGATTTGGTTTGGTTTGGTTTGTTTTATGGCATATCAACTTCAATGGGTTATTTAATGCCAACAAAAGTTTTATAGCTGGTAATATTTTGTTTTGTCAAAAATCTATTGCTGGTGATATTTTTTTTTCCTCAAAAATGTATAGCTGGTAATATTTTTTTTCCAAAAATGTATTGCTAGTAATATTTTGTTTCAAAAACGTTGGTAATATTTTTTTTTTTCAAAAATGTATTGATGGTAATATTTTTTTCTTCAAAAATATATTGGTGGTAATAGTTTTTTTCTTCAAAAATTTATTGCTAATAATAATTTTTTACAAAGTATTTCTGGTATTAAAACCTATTTTTACACTTTCATAGTGTTTTTACCTGTCTTGGGGTTAACTATTTGCCTATAGCTGGGACCCTAACAGGTGCTACCACCCTAGGTTAGGATGGACCTGGGAACACCAGCAATTAAGAGGTGGTTTTATGCCTCCTGATCAGAGGCCTTGCTGTTAGACATAGTTTATCGTCATACCCAGGCCACTTGTTACTGTTATAATTTGTAAGAGTTCCAAATCCTTGTTGCAACGGTTATAAATCACCTGAGTTTTGAATCAACTGTTGCCACTGTTATAATACACTTTGTAGCATTTATAAGTAATGCTTTGTCAACTTACTGTGACACCTGTATTAGCTAGCCTGAAGACAGACTCCAAATGGCATGTTTTTCTTACCTTTGCCCTGGAGCTCTTTATTTATAGTTATGGACTAGTTCATATAGTCACTGGGGGGTGGGGTGTACTATTTACTCCACAATAATTATCATGACTCAAAGTCAAATTTTTTTATAAGGTGGGATATATACTTAACATAATCAGTTTTTACTACATACAATTATCAATTGCTTTTTATACATTAACTATGAAATAGAAGCAAGCAGGTAAAAATGATGAAGAGAAATGGTGTGTCCATTTTTTTTTTTTTTTTTTTATTGTAGATGAATTAAATCCTGTAAACTGTTTTAGAAATTTATTTTTTTATTTTGTATTTTCAAAAAACACAAATAAATTTGTGTTTGAATCCTACATTACAAAATACGTCATGGAATTTCTACAGATGTTCTTAGTAATTCTTTATTTCTTAACTTCAAAATGAATATGAAATCAAAAAAAATATCTTTTAATATGCTAAAAATATTAGATGTACATGAACAGGCAAGAAGAAAAAAGTTGTTTTTTTTTCTTACGTTTAATGATTTCAATGTAGTGCATCAGTCGATTTTCCTGCATGACCTGAATAAATTTCTGTTCGATGTAGTAGTCCAAGTAACTCTCCATAGTTCTTTTGAGTAACATTCGGCATGTGATGAGAACATGGTGAAACCATTCGGGAATATGATATACATTGCGAGCTGAAACAAAAAAAAAATAACTTTTTGAATTTATTATCTCATCAATAAAAGTTTTCTTTTCTTTTTGCCCAGCTATGAATATTCCACTTTTATTTCTCTTTACTTTTGCCCCCTTACACCTTAGTGCCTACTACATTTGAATATCAAGCATTACAGCCATTCAAATACCAACACTACAAAAGTTCCAGTTGAAGTACTGAAACAAAAATATTATTTAAAAAGAATTTTAAAAATCTCCAATCAAAATTACTTACCTAAGTAGATAAGCATATTAAAAACACCTTCTATGTTTCCTTCAGGAAGATCTCCTTTAGGTGCAGGTAAAGGATAAGAACTCTCACAGTTGAAGTTGTTCTCATAAAGTGGACTGTAGAACTGAATACAACAAAAACAAAGGTGTTTTTATATAATTGTTTACATACATTCATGTAGATTTTAATATAAAAATGGATTCAAACATAAAAAAATATACTTATAAATTTTAATGCAAAACTTCCTGTTGCAAAAAAAAAAGCAAAATATCTGTTTAAAAGATATGCACAGGATTAATTTCGTATAATAGATCTGTTGATATTCAAACTGAAAAGTAAATTTTTTCAAGTTTCAATTAAATAACAAATTCTATTGAACAGATTTTCTTTCTTCTCTTGGATTTTGCAATATCATACTTTATAACACATTTCTTTTTATTGAAAAACTGAATCTATGAATAAAATGTTAAATTAAACTAAAACAATACAAAAAAGATGCCCCATGTAAAACCATTATCTGATTTACATTAGTATCAAGTTTTGGAGCAGAATTTAATCATATTTTCTAATCAAATAACCATCTTGATTTTCTGAAGATATAAAAAATGTTATTTTTATCCAGCAGCAGAAATGTGATGACTGTAGGGCAATGGATATTAACAAAGCTTGTTTTTGGTTGAATTATTCAGAATGAAAGTCATTGTAATGAGGAGAAAGTTTGATAGTGTTGAAAAGTCTAAAAAACCAAATTCATAAAGCTTACATATAAAAAAAAAGAAGTTTTATGTGCAATTAGCAAATGGAGGAAGTTTTGTCACAATGTCAAGTGAAAATTCATATCCTAGTATAAATAAAAACATCATCTTTAAACAGAACATTTCAAAAAGAATTTCAAATATATGATTTGAAATCATTTTTTCAAGTTCTCAAATTTCAGATTTAATGAGACAATAATTTCTAACTTTATTTGCTTAGATTTTATATGTTAGTCAACCTTTGATTTGAAGACATACTTGAAAGTCTTGTGCTACAAGAAATATAAAATTAATCTGTACATTTTTAGAACATGTTAGAGATGTTCCTTAAAATTAAAAAAAAAAGAATAATCATTATGCCACTTTTTCAGGGTCAAGAGTTGAAGAAATATTAAAATATTAAACAAAAAATACTAGAGTATCTGTCTATATCTCTGAGATATTAGGTATTATGATTACTTGCATTATTTACATTATTCAGACTGTTATCCTCATCTTCATTGCCATATTCACAACGTTTCAGCCATTATATGCTCCAGCCTTCTTCAGGTGACTGGAATTTCAAACCGAACCCTTTATTTTGTCCGCTGGGGTAGATTGTTCTAGTTCCATGTGCCATGATGTCTTAGTTATTTCCCTTTAACTTGTCCCAGTGGATGAAATAAAGGGTCCAGTTTGAAATTCCAATCACCTGAAGAAGGCCAGAGAATACAACAGCTTAAACATTGTGAATATGGCAATGAAGATGAGGATAACTGTTCGAATAATGCAATACTGGACTAGTTTAATGGAATTGATAAAAAAAATTATAAACATTTTTCAGTAACTACTAGCAAAATAATGTTGAAAGCATTGAAAAATGAAGGATATTTAATAATTTGCTTATAGCCAGCAGCATTTGCAAGTGTTTGACAAAAAGTATCCGTTCAAATATGTTCACACATTTTGTCAAACTTAGTATTTTAAAGGAAAATAACCTGTAAGTTTATATTTTATTTTTGATATTTTAGTCTATAAACAAGAAAATCACAAAGAAAAACTCAACAATGGTTTACAAATAATACTTCATTTCTGAAGAAAATACAAAATAAAAATTTCTTTTTAGTATGTGGAAGCTTAAAACTTTAATAAATGTTATTAAGCAATAAATATTGTTCTCTCTATATATTTTATGAATAAATTAAATCATATGAATTTTTATTTTGCAAATATTCACACACACACACACACACACACACACACACACACACACACAAAGTAGTTGCTGAAAAGTTCTCAGCCTGACCCACCCTACAAAATTAGTATTTCAGTAACTTAATGCATCAGTTTTATTTTCGTTTTTTTTTTTTTCTTTTGTGGATTAAATCCTGATTGAGAAATTAATATGCTTGGTCGGCTCAGGAGATTTTTGTGGTATAGCATATGAGCTGATTCCTTATAGACAGATATTCTTCATATTACTATGTAAGTTCACAACATTACCATAATAATAATCTCTTCAAAAAAAATTATCCGTGTATAGTGTGAATGTCTATTTTTTGCCTAAAAACCTGGTCATAAAAATTTGCACTATACTCAAGTATAAATGCTTTCTTTTTGTACCTGAAAGAATGAGAATAAATTCAATAAGTGTACATATTATTGAGGAGGCACAGTGGAGTAATGGATAGTGGCTCAGATTGAGGAATCAGAAAGCTGAGTTCAATTCCAGTTGTATCTATTACACTCACTTATGTGCTAATACTCTTAGGAAAGGGTATAAATCCTCTTCTTTCTCCTTTCAGTTATGGGTAAATAGCAGGAAAAACTGGGTTCTATAGCCTTGGGTGGCAACTGGTCTACTGCAGAAATGGCAACCTACTGTGGGAAAAAAATCTGCCTCATGAGTTATGTATTGAAAGATGCGTGTATCACGCATGGCACATAACTGACTGACGTATTATCGAATGTAACATGTATAATGTTTGAGATGTAACACCTTCAGTCATATTCCTAACCTTACCAAGGTTAAAGACATTAAAATTTAATACCATAAAACTGTAGATACCAGCTGTTGATTAGTTTTGATTTTAAGTTCTATATTGTAGATTTTCAGTATTATGATAACAAAAGACATGCGGTAACATGTAAATAAAAACCTTCACAGAGCTGAAAGTATCATTCAGTTGTTAAAAATATTGGAAACCTCAAACTGAAGATCTTATTTAGCTTGCAGTATTTTCCTCTTACCAGAGCTTCAAGAATCTGAAGCCATTTCACAATTAACATTGTATATGCATATTATTAATGTACTGAGTACTTGACCTATACTAGTAAAACCATTACTGGTAAGCAATCAATTTTTATTAATACAGGCATGAGTGGTACTTAGACAAGACAAACAGCAAGTTTATCTATATGATAGATTTAAAAAAAACACTTTGCTGAGGACAGAAATCAATCCAGTCAAGTAGTTTGGCTGTTTGCTTCTACAAACTGAGATGCTTGAGTGTCATACATCAAAAGCAAAGGGAGAGTATATATATATATATATATATATATATATATATATATATATAATGATAGAATAAGGAACAAGTAGGAAATGTTTATAAATTTAACATGTTTTGCTTTTATTAAAGCTTCAATTGTGATGAGTTCATAGCTGTGGTCAAATGCAAAAGAAATAACAGAATTGTCCAACAAACAGAATGAACAAAGATTGCATTAAAAAAAAAAGGGTAAAAATGAAATAATATCAAGCAAGCAAACAGTATATGCAAAGCAAATTTACAGGTAGAAAAAGCAAAACCTTTACAAGCTATAAATTGGCATCTATGCAGAAAAGCAAGGTCAGATAAATGAATGCAGTGATCTTTCTTATAGACAAGCCAGATCTGGACTGAGTCAAGTCAAATTGTAAACTAAGCTACTTTATTGACTAAGGAAAATATTCCAACATACACTTGTAGACTTCTGCCTATAAAAGCAGGGGGGGGCAGTCATTCCTTGTAAAAAATCAACAAACAAAATGAAATATGAAGGAGAAAAGAAAACATTTGAACAATTTTTATATAAATTATATCATGAAAAGAAAAATTATACAAACACATGAGAAATTATATTAAAAGACACCTTGTCAGTCATTTTCAACAAAACTTACATATATATATATATATATATATATATATATAGACACGAGTTAACAGTTTTTTGTAGGCATCATCAGATTTTTGGTTTGAATTATTAGATAAAAAAAATTTATATAACTTGTTTAACAAATAGCCCAATCATCAGATTCATAGTAGGAATAATTAACTAAAAACATGCATACTACATAACACACTTCATAATCCATAGCCTAAATTAGTAGTTTAAATACCTTACATATAAGATAACCCTTTATGAAGTCGTCAAAAAACAAACGTTACGAAAGTTTTTCCTTTTTTTTTTTTTTTTATTTTTTTTTTTATATGCACAATTCCCTTTCATAATAAAATAAAATAAATAAATAAATCTCCATAGACTAGCAAACTAGACGATGGCCAATACATCTTCCGTTTCATTTTTGACACCCCCACCTTTCCCCGGCTTGACACCTTGAAAGTATCTCTATACCGCTACTTAATATAAACACCCTACACTCGCCTACCCAATTTAGACAATTCACCATAGCTGTTACCATGGGGATTTTGATTTCAATTTTAAAACAAGTAAATTTCAGATATACGTTATTCCAACAAAAATTTCGCTTGAGGATGGAACGGAGCCCATTTTACTTTCAACTCAATTTAATTTAAAGGATTATATTGAAGTTTTCGGCTCTAGTTTTGAAACATGAGACCTCTTATGTAGCGATTTGGAATCATATTTTTAAATAAATAATTATATATATATATATATATATATATATATATATATAGAGAGAGAGAGAGAGAGAGAGATTTGTTTTTTTGCTGATGTATATATTTAATTTATATTGATTTTTATTTTATTTTTTGCAGCTTATTTTAAAGCCAGAAAATATTTTTAGATTTTAAGTATTTTTAGAAGATAATAATGATTTACTAATACAAGATCTACTAATTAACCCATAAATGGAGGAAAGAAGAGTTGGATTCATACCTTTTCCAAGAGTATTTGAAATAATGAACTTGACTAGAAATGGAACTCAGCTCCTCAATTTCCAATCCCAAGTTGTTATCCATTACACTACCTGCACATCCAAACTTACAGCACCTGATGTTCCCAAGTGGTCAGCCATCAAGATACTGACCAAGTTCAACATAAGCTTGGATGTGCAGGTGGTGTAATTGATATTGGCTCAGAATTATTCATCAGAGAGCAGTGATCCAATTCCCACTGAGTTCATTATAATCACACAAATACCACCGAGAAAGGTATGAATGCACCCCTTCTCTCCCTGCCCCAGCTATGGATTAATTTAGTAAGACTGAAATCACTAAACTGTTTTTATCTCAAAAAAATTCTTATAATCCCAAGAATAACCTGCAAAGAGTTAAGATCTAGAAAACAAATAAAAAAAAACAAAAAAAAAAAACAGATTACAGATAAATGTGCAATTAATTCTTAGCTTGCCATTTGTAATTTCTTTTGTAGTCTCAAGAATGGTTTGAAGTAGACAAAAATTAAGTGACCTTTTTAAATCTTCTAACGGACAGTTTAAATAACATGAATTATATAGTTTTACTACATGGCTGAAATACAAAAACAAAATGCATTGCTATCTGTTGATTGGTATACAACATTTTACAGAGAAAGATAGAAATATTTTATGGTGCCATAGAGTAATGGTACCCAAAAGCTTGGAGACTATAAATTTAATGGTAAGGTGAGTCTATTATTAAATGATCTTTGATGAAGGTAATAAATAGCTGAGAATTATTCCACTCCAAGAGGAACTTCCAATATGATTAATACCTGAAAGAGTTTGAAAGGAATATACTTATTAGCTTTGATGTTGCTACCATATTTTTTTTTATTACCAGCAGTCTTGAGAAAGATTGGTATTTAAGGAAAATAAATAGAAAGTTGGGGTTACAGCAGAAGTGAACCCATTTATCTGAAAGTTATTCAAAAGAGAAAAGAGTTCATATTTAATGTTTAGATTTTTGTCTTGCAAAAAAAAAAAAAAGAAAGAAAAAAAGAAAGTAGCAAATAAGCAGAAAGTTTGTCCTAAGCTTACCTTTTCACTTGTAACTGATTTCAAAGACGTGTCAGAACCTTTCCTCTCCAACTTGCTGGAAATTTTGAGAATAAGAAAAAAAATACATTAGTGGTGAAAATAGAGGTGGATATGTCGTCAAGAAAAAAAATGCAACAAACTGCATTTTTTAAACATACAGTGATAAATACAAAAGCCATAGAATATATATATATATATATATATATATATATAGATGGCGGGAGGGAAGAAAGTGGAAGAGGAAATGTTAAAGAGAGCTGATGAAAAGAAACTTTTTCATTGCAAATGTAGTGGTATTCTTCATTGGTATATACTTTTTCAGACTGTCTTACATAAGATATACACACAAGTATGTAGACATAGTAGACTGATGGAATAAATTTGAGAGATAAGAAAAACAATAACAATAGTAATAATGATGATAATAATATTTATTGTATATTATTAGGCCTTTACACCAAATAGAATCATGAGGAGAAAAGATGTCAAAAATTGAATTTTTTGGATACAGATGTGTCCTTTCTCAATGAAAACTAAAATGAAGTTGAAATAGGGGGGAGGTAATTTATATAATATAAGAGAGAGAGAGAGAGAGAGAAATAGCGATGGACACAGATTTGTGAGTGTAAAGTATTGCACAAAATAAAATTCATCAAATATTCACATACTTTTCTTAAAGTAAAAGGATCATACATATATACATATAAAAAATGTATGTATCTATTTCTATAAATGAACAGACTCTGAGTTACCTATGTCATATATGTTTTCATTCCTATGGGTGGCATAGACAGAGATCTCAGAAAAAGAAAAAAAATGCTATATTGTTAGATTTTGAGAAATAAGATGTAAGAAAGAAAAACTGAACAGCAGCAAAACTCATACAGATAACAATAAACTGTGGCACAGGATACAATATGGTTTTCTTCTCACATGCACATGTGTGTGTGTGTGTGTGTATATATATATATATATATATATATATATATGTAAATAAACAGAGACACACATATATGAGAAAATGCATAATAATTTTTATATATCAGAACAATTTTTTATTTTGTTATCAATTTTCTTTACATATTTAGAGTTTTTTTGTTTTTTTTTTTGTTTTAATCTCCAAACTCCTTGGTGTTGACACTCCTTGCAAGGTAATTCTTGCAGGGAGAAATAGCTATACATATGGGGTATTTTTGAATTTCTCTCATATGTAATTTATTTCATATATATATATATATATATATATATATATATATATGTGAATTGGAGATCAAATGTAGATCAGATATGGATAGAAATAAATCTCAATTAAACATGTTTCACCTTTATTAATGTTTTGTCAGAAATTGAGAATAGAAATTAAATGTGTGTGTGTGTGTGTGTTTGTGTGTGTGATAGAGGTCAGTACCTAAGACCATTTTGTTTATGTGTGATAGTCTCTTTACAGTAAATATACAATCACTTATTATATTTCTGCACATCCTTTAAGTACTGTTCAGTTATGAAAACATATGGATCCCATTTTAAAAATTATCATATTTGAATAAGTGAAGGATATTTTGGGTTAATTTCCATCAACCACGATTGACTGTTATTTTTTTTTAAAGAAAAAATATCTTGTAACTTATTTTACAATTTTTTTTAAAACTATAAACATAGACAAACACAAGAAATATAATAATTTTCATGACTGCTTTTAAATTCAATGAGTCATTAAAACAGCTTTCTTTTTATTTTTTCAGTATAAATTAATTCATTTCATAGCATAATGAAGCAATAGAGAAATTACCCAATTCATAGCCAGGACTGAATTTATATTTAAAATATAATTCATAGAATTATTGTACTGTTTTGTTTTATTGTTGTCTTTATCAACAGGTGAAATTCTTCAGCATCTCTTAAACTGGAGATGTATAAATAAATCAATGATGTTTTTATATTACGTATGCAATAACACAATTTACTGACAATCAATAGAAAAAAATTCCATTTTTCATTAGTTTCATTTTTTTAAAGAAAATAGCATTTTTTATGATAACAGAAAATTAAAGTTATATTCCAATGTAAAAATAATGACAGCATATTGGATTAAAGCATTCATTCATGACTTTGGTAGCATAGTTATTGTGAGTTCAATCTCTGGGTTTGGTAGTACAGACTTTGATTCAGTGAAAAGAGGGTGAGTAATAACTGAGCAGTACTAAAAAAAGAAAAACAAAGATGAGATATCCCTAAAAGTAGACAGTAGAACAAGAACAATCTACACCTATACATCAAAATTCTATATCTGTCTATATTTCTGAGAGGAGGTATTATGTACACTATTTACATTATTTGGACTATTGTCCTCATCTTTTATTATGTTTCGCCATATTTGTTATATTTCAGATAAGGTATTTCACTGTTTACATTATTCGGACTATTGTCCTCATCTTTGTCATCATATCTATTACAAAATTTCGCCTTCAGTTCATATTTCTGAGATGAGTTAAAATGTCAAACTTATTTGAACCCTTTTTGTTCCGCTCAACTTTCAGACTGTTCTTCAGTTTAAAATGTCAAACTGAACCCTTTATTCCGCTCACTGGGGTAGACTGTTCTAGTTTCACGTGCCATGTTTAATCGACATCAGTTATCAGTTATCTTCTGTTAATTTCCCTCTGAAAGTTCTCTACCGACTTAGCTGGGTATTGAACTCACACTCTTTGGGTCTTGTCACTGGATCTAACTAACACCTTTATCCACTGTGCCATGTGTCCTTGAGGACATCTGTGTATGAATTTCTGGGTATTATGGCACAGTTTGATAAAGGCATTGGTTAGATATCCAGTGACAGTACCCAAAGAGTGTGAGTTCAATACACGGTTAAGACAGTGGGGAATGCTCCAACCACCTGAAGAAGGCTGGAGCATACAAGGGCCGAAAGGTTGTGATAAATATGGCAACAAAGATGAGGACAATTGTCCGAATAATGTAAATAGTGTACATAATGCCTCATCTTAGAAATATAGACAGATAATAAATTTAATGGATGTCAGTTATCAAGAACACATGGCACAGTGGATAAAGGCATTAGTTAGATCCAGTGGCAGGACCCAATGAGTGTGAGTTCAATACCTGATTAAGGCAGTGGAGAACTTGGAGAGGGAAATTAACAGGAGATAACTGATAAATGACACCCATTAAACATGGCACGTGGAACTAGAACAGTCTACCCCAGTGAGTGAAATAAAGTGTTTATTTCGACATTCCAACCACCTGAAGAAGGCCGGAGCATACAACGGTCAAAATGTTGTAATAAATATGATGACAAAGATGAGGACAATAGTCTGAATAATGTAAATAGTATAGTATCAAAATTCTAACACATATCAAATATGAAAAAAAATATTTTAATTCCATTACTAAATTGGTAAAAAAAAATGTAAACCTATTTTGAAGCAGAATCCTGATTTTTCCAGCATTTAATGATTTTCACTAATTCTTTAAGGGTGAGACTTGAAATGAATGTTTTTTTCTAACATTAACTCTACTTCAAAACAAACAGTTTTATAGTTACATAATCTATACTGTGATTATGAGTGGGTTACTGAAAATTTATCAACCTGGCCCGTTTCCAAAAACCAAGCATTACTTTGGCATGTAGCTGGAACAATTGTTCTTTGCTTATATAAAGTGGGAAATTCGTAGATCCTTACATTTATTGTCAAATTTGTTTAAATCCTTTACAAATATTGCCTGTGCCATATCAACAGAAAATAAGAAATTTTTTTTTTTGAATATAGAACTCTATGTCATAATGAAGTTTCTGTTCCTCAAAAAGGAATCAATGACTGTATGACGCAAAACTTCGCTGACCATCATATTTAGTTGTGTCAACTTCCATGGAGATTTTGAGACTCAAAATTTCACACTATCATCAAATGGTGTCAACTTCTGAAACTGTTGATCATGACCTTGACTTTGATTGATGAACCTGGTCAAAATAACAGCCTAGATATTAGATATATCAAGGGAACACATTAGGTCTATAATTCATGAGCAGTTCACGATGCTGAAGTTGTCAGCCAAGTAGGTGCCAAAATGCTTGTAGGCTGACCAGAAACAATATCAAGGAGACATCCCCTATTTGATTTTACAGCATATTCATCAATCATATTATAATCTTTTAGAACAACTTGTCACTTTTAATGAAACATATTTACATCACTATGATCCAGGGACCAAACAACAGTCCATACCATAGTAACACTTGCTTTATCCACAGCCAAAACCTGAAAGTCGACTGGAAAGGTCATGGCCACAGTTTTGGGAGATAAAGAAGATATCTAAATAAGTTATATCTTCAGATGAACCAAACAGTTAGAATAAAACTCTAGATGTGTCGATTAAAAGAGGCATTGAAAGATAAACAAGGGATGCTGTGGAAAGATATTATCTTTTTGAAAAGCAACTACTCACAGTTCTGGCAAAACAAGGGATATTTGGAACAATTTGGGGTTCAAATGAACATAACATCCACCCTTACTGACTAAATCTTGCTCCATCTGATTCTTTCTTGTTAATTAAACATGTAAAAAATGTGAAAGATAGACATTTTCAAATGATTCACATGTGACATCAGAATCAGAACAATAGTTGTATGACTAAATATTACAAGTTTTCTTTTCTTTTTCAAGAGTTAAAGAAATGATGTGAAATGAAGGGAATATATGGAATAGCATTTGTGTATCATTGCTCCAACTCATTCCCTTTTTGGTTGGCTTCAGAACTTTTCAGCACCACCTTATAATTTTGCTTATTACATTTTTAATTAATTCCTTAAAAAAGCAAAAATTTAATGAAGTCAATCTATTTTAAACTCCAGTGTTTTTTAAGATGTTCCATCTTTTGGTTAATTTCTATGTTGATGCCTCTAATATAAATAGCTATATCAATGTTTTAAAAACATACACATCAACTTATGGTGAGAGATTGGTTCCCAAACAGGGGTTCAAAGAGAAAGATTTGTAATTTGAAAAGCTGAAATGAGGTTGGAAGGTTTAACCATACCTT